TTATTAGTACCTTGTCATCCAGTCCTCGTCATCTCTTCTCTACTTTCGCCACCTCCACCCAGTACCTCACTCACTGCTTACAAGATTGCAAATAATTTCAAAAACAAGATTGATGCAATTTGTAGGGGCATTTCCACTGCACAGATATCTATCCCACTTAGCATACCTTATACTAAACCTCCCTCAACACTTTCCTCTTTTGACCTTGCTACTACTGAAGAGGTCACTAAAGTTTTCTCAGAAGCCCGCCTCACCACCTTCCCCCTGGATCCTGTCCCCTCACAACTACTACGGTCACCCTCTTCTATTATCCTATCCTCCCTCACTCACATCTTCAACCTCTCCCTCTCCAGTGGTGCCTTCCCCACCCCTCTAAAGCATGCACACATCACTCCCATACTTAAAAAACCCTTCCTGGACCCCACCAACCTGAACAACTTAAGACTCATCTCCCTGCTCCCGTTTACCTTGAAACTCTTAGAACGCTTAGTCTACAATCGCATAAGCTCCTACCTCACTAACAACAACTTTCTTGACCCTTTATAGTCTGGCTTTCATTTACTACACTCCACTGAAACTGCCCTATTAAAACTCACTAATGATTTACTAACTGCTAAAACCAATGGCCACTACTCCGTACTCTTACTACTTGACCTCTCTGCATCTTTTGATACTGTTGATCATTCCCTCCTCAAAAAACTCCACTTTCTTGGCCTTCGAGACTCTGCTCTCTCCTGGTTCTCCTCCTACCTATCGCAGCGCTCCTTCAGCATTACCTATAACACTGTCTCCTCCTCTTCACTTCCTCTTTTTGTAGGGGTCCCTCAAGGTTCTGTCCTTGGGCCCCTTCTCTCTTCTCCATCTACACCTCCTCCTCTGGTCACTTGATAAACTCCCAAGGCTTTAAATACCATCTCTATGCTGATGACACACCAATCTATCTTTCTACTCCTCACCTCACCCCTTCAGTCTCCTCTCGTATTAGTAACCTACTAAGTGACATATTGGCATGGATGTCACTCCACTTCCTCTTAATCTTTCTAAAATGGAGCTCATACTATTCTCTCCAGCCTGTGCCGAATCTCCCTCCCCTGACTTTTCCATCAAGATCAATAATACAACCATCAATTCCTCCCCTCATGCCAGGGTACTAGGTGTAATCCTAGACTCCCATCTATCCTTTCAGCCCCAAATCCAATCACTGTCTAAATCTTGTAGACTTCACCTCTGCAACATCTCCAAGATATGCCCATTCTTAACCTCTGAAACTACTAAGCAACTTATTCACTCCCGATTATCTCTCGCCTTGACTATTGTAACTCCCTTCTCATTGGCCTACCTAATCTCAGGCCATCCCCTCTTCAGTCGATCATGAATGCTGCTGCCAGACTCATCCACCTTACTAACCGTTCCATATGTGCCATCCCTCTCTGCCAATCCCTCCACTGGCTTCCCATTGCCCAACAAATAAAATTCAAAACATTAACAATAACATATAAAGCCATTTACAATGCCCCACATTACATCACCAATATTGTCTCCAAATATCACCCAAACTGTCCTCTCTGCTCCTCCTATGACCTACTGCTCTCTAGCTCCCTTGTCTCCTCCTCCTATGCTAGTCTCCAGGATTTCTACAGAGCCTCCCCCATCCTCTGGAACTCTCTATCCCAATCTATCAGACTATCGCCTACTCTGCCCACTTTTAGGCGATCCCTGAAAACCTCTCTCTTCAGGGAAGCCTATCCTGCCTTCAGCTAATAATGGAATCTTCTATTCCTTCTACCAGTCCATCCCCCACAGTTATTACCTTTTGTACCACCAGCCCCTTCCTCTTAGATTGTAAGCTCCAAGAAGCAGGGCCCTCCTAACCCTCTTGTATTGAACTGTAGTGTTGCTGTATTGTCTCCCTTTTTTTCGTAAAGCGCTGAGCAAACTGTTGGCGCTATATAAATCCTGTATAATAATAATATTAAATAATACTAGGATTTACAGTGAATATGGTTTTTGTTTGGGAAATTCCATTCATTCTCAAATCAAACGTTAAAAGCAGAGAATATTTTAAAGCAGAAGTATAACCATTGATTTGATTGATTCCTAAAACAGTTACATTCAATGCATGCCGTGAATGATAACTGTCACAGTTGCTTTTACTCTCGACTGTCAAGCCATCAATGGTGGGTGTCATAACAGATCACATGTGCAGCACATTTGCAACTGCAGCTCAACCAGAGGTATAGATGGTAGCTTTCTTGGCTGTAAGGTACAGGATGGTTCAGTTCTGCTTTAAATAATTTTGAACAGCATTTGTCAAGTCTCTGATGCCATTATCTACTGTACTGACAACAATTTTCATGCGAACGTCTGCACAAAAATCTATGTATGACCAGATGTACTATCTTTTTCCAAAGGAAAAAACTCCCCTTGGAGGAAGATTTGTAGTATATTTTTACAGCTTTGACCCTAAAGTTGTAATACATGATAACATCTCTTTACTGTCCAATATCCTTGTACAAAGGCTAGTATTTTTTTTCCTAGCCCAGTGTTTATCTCTGGAATAAGAACTGTTATATTTCCTCTAGAAGCAGTTCAATATTGCTCTGTATCAAACCATCAAAGTTTAATTTAATTACTGTTTTTTTTTCTTTTACTGTGGTTTGGAACAGCGATAACTTTCTGATGTCACTGGCTGGCACAGTAGATAAAAAATAAGAACTATCCAATTCACAAAGTGAAAAATGTTATCTAAATTTAGCAATGGCAGCTGCTTTATCTGTATATTTAGCAGTAAGTTATAAATAGAAAATGTTTTCTTTAGGAATGAGATTTACAAGGGAATTTCGGCTGCTTTAGCAGTTTTTAAAGTATACAAAAATGTCAGAATGACTATACTGCTTGTTCATTTATACATAAATTTGGAATATACTATAGATGGTCTGCAACATCACTCAGGCATACTGTGGCATTCAGATGATGAGGAATTGACATCAAACATCCCTAAAGTGTGCCAACAAAACGTTTTGCACCATAGGGCTCATGTAAATGGACATTGGTCTCCTGCATTTGACGCATATTTGAAATGCACATTGAAGGCAGGTCAGCAGATTCCCTTTAACTTCAATTAAGTAGTACAGTACAATGAGTGTTTTTACCTACTTTGTATTGTAGTTCTTCAGACTCATCATGACCTATTGAGGTGCTATTAAATTGCAGGCAAAGCAGGTTACATGCAGTCTTTTCTTGTCAAACACTGTGTTTTGCATGTAAATGTATGCATTTAGGCAATGCTGTGTTTGAATAGAAAAGGTTGAGCTTGACAAGAGCACCCCCCATCCCTGTCTTCATGAGTCCTTATATTTTCACCAGTCTGAACTATTGACACAAAGACGTATGGCTCCATGGTGTCCCAATTTTAGTAATACTGCTAGAAAATTGTTGCATTTTATAGTTGCCAATTGATTTGCTGCAAAAGTGACTGCACAGCTCAATCACAGTTCTATGAAGACTGAGATTGAGCTCTGCAGTCACTTTTGCAGCAGTTTTCTTATTTCGGGTCACAATCCTGCACAATTCCCAGAAACTGTATATGCCGTCATACTTTTTTGATACTGCCTCACAACACAGTAAATAAATTGGCAACTTCAGACACAGAGGCACCAGCTAAGCGGGCACCAACAATTTGCCCTCTTTGTAGCTCAATAGGCTCTGATCCGTATTAGTAGCAACGCATGCAGTGAATGATGAAAGTAAGGCTTCCCACCTGTTAGCTAGGTGTCTCATCACACAGCGGAGGCAAAATAATGTTACATCACTTCCGCTTTCAATGCCAAAAAAAAAATTTTTTGTCACTTTCCCACCTGCAAATCATGTAGTGTTTCCATTTTTTGTCTAACCCTTGTATGTTGGGAAAGAAGATGTTATCACATGCTCTATGCCCAGGACATACAAATCCCCAGTTACACCTTCTCTAACTTGGAGGCTACAAGTTTTGTTTATTAATATGCTATGTACCCTCTTGGGTGTTTTTACATTCTCAGCAGCTATGTTTTAGCTGACTAACATCTTAACATTTTCAAAAAAGTTTTCTTACGCTATGCTTTGTACGCTAATTTTTTTCAAGAAAAAATTATTGAAAGTGAAATCCCCAGTTACACTTCTGTAAGCCATTATTTAAATGTGAAGTGTGGGGTTCTGAAAAAAATAAACATTCATACTCACTTCTATGGCTGCAGCATCAATGTGATGCTGCAACTGTCCCCCACCACTTCTAAGACCAAGAAATGAGAGATTACATGACTGCTGATCATTCAATTCTTGGTCCACTCTAAGCTGTCAGACACCGCTCTCTGCTCTGCCCCTCCAGTGCTCACTAGAGAACTGGGTTGGAGAAGGGCAGCTAGTTCAGGTTTTCAGGGGTGTGCTGAGAATCTGAGACAGATGCCAATCAAGGGGGATTCCAACATTGTCGTCAAGATTCTTCCAGAGCCTGGACTGATTCTTTGTCACAGAAGTGCAAAAGTAAGTGTACTCCTGTGACCCAAAAGAGAAGTATGGCCAAACAAGCATTGGCCGTACTTCTCTTTTACGCATATGGTCAATTGTTCAGTTTTAGGAACTTTCCACAGACAAGAAATTCTAAATAATGCCTGTTACAGCAGATGTGGTGTAAATTCTAATGACTTTATTTTGCAACACTTCATCCAACCAATCTCATTAACCGCTACCCTATAGGGCACTTATACCCCCTTCCTACCCAGGCCAATTTCCAGCTTTCAGCGCTGTCACACTTTGAATGACAATTGCGTGGTCAAACAACACTGTACCCATATGAAATTGTTATCATTTTTTTGTGACAGATAGAGGTTTATTTTGGTGGTATTTAATCGCCTTTTTTTCTTAGTTTTTGTTATAAAATTTAGTAAATAAGTGATTTTTCTCCTTCAGTGATGTGCGATAATGAGGCTGCACTGATGGGCACTGATAGGCTGCACTGATGGGCACTGATGAGGAGGCACTGGTAGGTGGCACTCATGGGCATTGACAGGCATCACTGATGGGCACTGAAAGGCAACACTGATACATGGCACTGATAGGCAGCACTGACTGGCACTGATAGGCGGCACTGGCTGGCACTGATAGGTGGCACTGATTGGCGGTACTGATAGGTGGCACTGATTTTCATTGATAGGTGGCACTGACTGGCACTGATGGGTGACACTGAAAGGCAGCTCATATGGGCACTGATATGTGGCATTGATGTGCACTGGTAGGCACTGATATGTGGCACTGATGGGCACTGGCATGAGGCACTGATGAGCACTGACAGGTGGCACTGCTGGGGCTACACTGATCATCAGGGCACACTGATCATCAGTGCCCTGATGATCTGTGTACATGTCCCCTCCGCGGAAAGCCGATTACCAGCTCTCCTCTCAAGCTGTCAGCGTGACAGCTCGAGAGGAGAGAAATGCCGATAACCGGCATTTCCCTGTTTACATGTGATCAGCTGTGATTGGACACAGCTGATCACATGACCGAGCAGAAATCTTCAGCTCTTTCCGTGATCGGTGATCCGCTGTATCCCTGAGCCGCACATGCGCAGTGAGAATGGGAGGACGTCATATGATGTCCTCCCAGAACGAGAGAACCACCTTGCAGCCGTCATATTACTATATGGCGGGCAGGAGGTGGTTAAACTCCCATTTCCTAGGACTTACTATTGGTCCTTCAATGCAGTGGACTGCGTCACTGATCAGGAGACAGGTGGGGTGCACCAAGCTCGACTAAGCTTTGCATTTAACTGGAGCTGCCTATATCACTGGTACTACTGCCACTATTAGCATTTTCTATGCCTCTTCTTTCTGCCAGAGTTTCTGGAATTTTTCTAATGTACATGGACCAAAAGTCCAATTCCAGTCTAAACTCTCTTTTTCACAACTTTTTTGGTTTATAACCCCCAGTGTGAAATCCATATACAATACAATGACAGAAGCTACAAAACAGTTTTGTATTCCAACAATGCAAATATTAATGCAAATCACCCCCAACTCTATGAGATGTATGACTGCACAAAAACCAAAAGGAAGGGAGAATTGACATGTAGTTTTACTGCAGAATTGGCCAGGAAATGCTTTGTTATAAATATATACAGTGCTCAGCACAAATGAATACACCCCTTTTGAAAAGTAAGATTTTAATCAATATCTCAGTGAACACAAGAACTATTTCTAAACTTTTGACAAAACATTTATAGAACATTTGTTTAGCTCATTACATGAAAGTAAGGATAATAATATAACGTAGATTACAAAATCTTCAGTTTTACTCAAATTAGTTGATGCAAAAATGAATACACTCCACAACAAAAATTACTACATCTAGTATTTTGTATGACCTCCATGATTTGTAAGGACAGCCAAGTCTTCTAGGCATGGCAGAGTCCCAGTAGTCTTCTTTTTCTATTTCAATGGTTTTTATTAAATTTTTTAAACAGTATAAACAGAGGCAGTAAAACACGCCCACGCAGGGGCTATCAATTGCACAGATAAACAAAATGCCAAATTAAAAAAAAAGGGGAAAAACAATGCTCTAATGCCAACAGGGCAAAAGGTACGCCCACGCAGGGGCTATCAAAGGCACATAAGTTACAAAACATTAATGTAACTGATTATAACAACTAAATGCAGCTGTCCTAGTCACACCAAAAACAGAGAGAGGGAGAAAAAGGAAAAGAAAGAAAAAAAAAAAAAAAAGGGGGGGGGGGGGGGGCCAAAGAGCAGGGATTCAAGAGCGCCAACACCGAACGCCATTACATCCCCAGACTAGCCGGGGAGAGTGAGGGAAGGGCATATTGCAACCACGGCTCCCATATTTTCAAAATTTACGTTGGGACATTGCGGATACTCGACATCTGTTCGTTGAGCATCATAGTGGTCATACGATCCCGCACCCCCTGAAGAGGGACAAACGGACTTCTCCAGGCCTGAGCAATTGTTCTAGTGGCGGATAAAAACAGATAGGAAGCCAACTTCTGCTGGTGAGCCAAGAGCCCGGTATGGGGCAATGAAGCAAAGCATACCGAACATCCCGGGCGTATGGAGAGATGGAACAAAGTGAAAAGGAGGCCAAATACACGAGACCAAAAATGAAACAGTCTCGGGCATGACCACCAGATATGCAATACATCACCACGATGACCACAACCCCGAAAACATCGATCACTACAGGCAGGGTTAGCCCGGGCCAACCGAGCCGGAACCCAGTACCTACGAAACAAAACCTTATAGGCTGCCTCCAGTGTGGTCGTATTAAATGAGCATTTAGCTATGAGTGACCAGGCCTTATTCCAGTCCTCCGGATCCACAGCCACTCCCAGGTCGCGCTCCACTGAACAACATATGAAAGAGAAGTATGCGATGAGCGTCTGTTCAGAGCTGCATAAAGAAGGGATAAGGCCCGGAGGCCGGACGCTGTTGGCAAAGCTGTTCAAAGGCAGATTTCTGGTACGGGAACGCAGAAGTACCCCGCAGCGAGAGCAGCCAGTGTCGCAATTGAAGATATCGAAAAAATTCCGCTGGGGGGATATTCCGGGATTCCCGAAGAGAGTCCCAGGTGGGAAAGGACCGAAAAATCAAAAAGTGTCGCACCTGCGAAAAACCATTAGTCACCCACCAAGAAAACGCCCCTGGGTGATCCAAACCCGGCGGGAAAAGAGGGTTGTTAATAATAGGTAGCAAAGGCAGAAAAGGTGACATCAGACCACCAGAATAACGTACCGAGTCCCAAACTTGTAGGCCATGAAGTAACATCGGACTCAGTGCCATAGGGCGCAGGGCAGGGGGAAGCCATAGAAGCGTCGACAGTGCGATAGGGGCACAATTAGGTAGTTCCAACAGGACCCAGAGGGGGACGTCGGAAGAGGCGTGCAACATAGACAGCGGAGCAATCTGGCTCGCTTGATAATACTTAGTCACATTAGGCACCCCAAGACCACCCTGAAGTCTATGGGCAAAAAGCGTACTTTTGGATACTCTGGGGTGCTTATCGGCCCAGATAAAACGCATTAACTTCGCCTGAAGCAACCTAAGAAAATGAGGGGGAACCCGCACCGGGAGTGTGCGAAAATAATACAACAATTTCGGCAAGATGGTCATTTTCACCAAATTAACCGTCCTATCCAAGACAGGTGCGGAAATTGCCAAGAATGCATAAGAGAGGATAGAGAGCTAAGCAATGGATAATAATTTGCAGCAAACAAGGAGTCATAAGTGGGGGTCAAGCGAACGCCTAAGTATTCAAGAGAAGAGGAAGCCCATTTGTAAGGGAAGTGGGATTGTAGGCGCGAAACCAAATCGAAGCCAAAGTAATATTGAGGGCTATAGTCTTATCCAAGTTGAAACGGAGACCCGAAATCAAGGAGAAGCGCTCAAGAACCTGTTGCAAATTAGGAAGCGTCGTCAGGGGGTTAGTAAGAGTCAGGAGGGCATCATCCGCAAAAAGATTCAGTTTGAATTCCTGTCCCGCGTAAGGAACCCCCGATACATTGCAATCGGTCCGAAGCGCTAAAGCCAGCGGCTCAAGCGCCAGGACAAAGAGCGCTGGGGACAGGGGACAACCCTGTCTTGTCCCTCGCCCAATAGGAAAGGGATCTGAAAAATACCCAGCGTATTTGACGGAGGCCGAAGGAGAAGAATACAAGGCCTGGATCCAAGAAAGAATAGAATCCCCAAAACCCCAACGAGACAGCACAAACCGCAGATATTCCCAGGATAGAGAATCAAAAGCTTTATAGATGTCTAAAGACAGTAAGAATCCTGGGATTTTCCGTTGTTGCAGAAAATGTATAAGATGGACCACCTTACGGACATTATCACCCGCCTGCCACCCGGGGACGAACCCCACCTGGTCCCTGTGGACCAGGCTACGCAAATATTTATTGATGCGAAAACTAAGGATCTTGCCCAGTATCTTCAGGTCTTCATTAAGAAGAGAAATAGGCCGGAAGGCTTGCGGTTCCTGTACATCATCAGTCGTCTTAGGAATCATGGCGATATGAGCTCTAAGCGCATCTGGAGAGGGCGAGGAGCCCTGTCGTAACGCATTAAAATACTCAGCCAAAAAGGGCGCCAACAAGGCTGAGAATTTCTTATAATAAAGACCGAAAAGCCGTCGGGACCTGGGGCCGCGGTGGACCGTAAAGATTTGATAGCTTGGAGCACTTCTGGTACAGTGACACCGGCGTTGAGTGCCACCTGTGCCGCCTCGGATAACCCAGGAAGTCGGAGATCTTGAAAGAATGCCTCTGCCTGAGCCACGGGGAAGGGATCTGGTTTAGCGTAGAGAGGCGTGAAAGAAAGTCTGAGAAACAGGAAACAATCTGCTGGGGATTAGAAGTACAGCCACCTGTAGGAAGTCGCAGTCGAATCGGTTTATGGGGTTTCCCCACAGAATTGAGTTTCCTGGCCAGCATCGGGCCCGGCTTATTAGCACAGGAATAAAATTTGTGTTTGGTCCAGCGCAGGGCCCGTTCTGCCTCCGAAGAGGCAAGTAAGTCCAACTCTGCCGCCAGAGCGTCCCGAGCGCGTTTATGGGCCGCGGATGGAGATAACTTCCAACGCGCATCCGCAGAGGCCAGGAGAGAATGAAGCTCCAAAAGTCGGCGCTCCGCTCCCGCTTCCGGACCGCCGCCAGCTGTATAACATGACCCCGCACCGTGGCCTTATGCGCCTCCCATAGGGGCACTGCAGAGGAGACCGATCCCGCGTTTTCCGTAAAGTATGTTCGTAAAAAAAATTCTATTTGTTGGCAGGTAGCCTGAGTGGTCAATAAAGAATCATTGATGCGCCAATGAAAAGGGCGCCGTTCTGACCCAGAGAGGGCAAGGAGAAGTACCAAGGGATCGTGATCCGACCAAGGCGAGGAGGGAATAGTTATCCGCCTGACCAAGGGAAGCTGCTGAACCTGCATAAATATATGATCAATTCTACAAAAACTATCATGAGGACTGGAATAGAATGTAAAGTCCCGTTCCGTTGGGTGAAGCTCCCTCCAGACGTCCGCCAGCCCCGCTGTCCGCAGGAGAGAGCGCATACGTTCCTCCAGCGCCAAGTCATGAGAAGGGCCGCCCCCCGTGCGCAGCGCCTATCCATTGCGGAATCCAAAGTAACATTCGAATCCCCAAAACAACAAGGAGACCCTTAGAGTGTCGGGAAACAATGGTGCAAAGATGTGAAAAGAATTTATCCTGAAAACGATTAGGCGCATAGTAAGAGACAAAAGTAACCTCCTGGTCCCAGAGGGTGCCTTGCAGAAGCAGATACTGCCCGTGGGGTCCGCTATATTCCTAGCACAGACAAAGGGGAGATTGCGTTTAAAAGCGATCAGGACACCCCGACGCTTCTCAGGAGCCGAGGCCGTGTAAAAGGTGGGATAGTGAGGTGAAAGATAACGTGGGCGGAGGACTGAGAAAACCTGGTCTCTTGTAAACATACCACGTCAATTTGTTGCGATTTGAGGTGATGAAAAACTTTAGCCCGCT